TCAGGGCTGGCGTCCGCGCGGCGTTGGAGGCTTGGCCTGCTTTACAGGTGAGTGAGGCCACGGCAGAATCAAGGTTAAGGCCCCTCGGGCAAAATAGGAATCGGCCAGGCGAAGCGCCTGAGGCTTGGCGGCGGCGTAAGCGGCAGATCATTCAGGGCACACCAGGCCAGTTCCCAAGCTGACGTGGTGGGCTTGGGCCTGTGTTCGCAGATCGCTGTAGAGAATGGATTCGGGGGCGTGCACAGCCAAGAGAAGGCGGAGTGGCTGGGGGGTGCAGTGGAGGATTACTTCATCCGCAATGGTGAGTGAATGGGAGGCAAAGCGATCTGTGACTGGGCGTGAAGAAGAGGGGCTCCATCCTGCTAAGTACGCACTTCCTCTTTAGCGGTTGTCGGTTGGTACCTGGACCGCGGTGGAATGGACGCAGGCTTTGGAGTCAGAATTCTATCTTAAGGGGCTTGCCACGGAATCATGCTTTCGCCCCGAGCAAGGCATTTTACCTACTGAGACTCAGTTTTCTAGTTCCCAAAAATGAATGTAAGAGTCTCTACCTGCAGTGCTGTCCAGTAGAATTGTGTGTCATCCATCATGTAACTTACAAACCGTTGGACTGTGGGTGTAGATCAGTGGTAGAACACTTGCTTATCATGCTTAAGGTCCTGGGTTCCAACCCCAGCACCACACCCCCCCCCCCCCATACACACACCCGTTTTTACTAAAGCAAAGAGAGGCACATGAAATTAATAATACATACTTTTCAACTCACATTCAAAATATTTTAGTATGCCGAAAGTATAAAACATTATTGAGCACCCCTGGCTGGTAGTGCATGCCTGTGATCCCACTAAGTGGAGAGGCTGAGGCAGGATGATAGCAAGTTGGAGGCCAGCTTGGGCAATTTAGTGAAACCCTGTTTCCAAATTAAAATTTTTAGAAAGATCTGATGATGTAGCTCAGTGCCAGGGGCCCTGGATCAAGTTCCCAGTTCCACAAAAACAAAACATTATTGAAATATTTTTATGTTTTTTAGTATTAAGTGTTCAAACTCTGTTAATTTCATTTTAGCACATCTCAGTTTGGCCTAGCCGCATTTCAAGTGCTCAGTAACCACATGTGGCTATTTCCTGTCTTGAGGATTATACAAGAACAAGTGGCCCAAAAGGGGGCCTGTTGCATTCTATGGTTTTTTTTATAAAATTATTCATTTTTTTAGCCTTGGAGATGATATCAGACAGTCATATCTCAAGACAGTTTACACTCTGGTGAGGGTTGTAAATGGGTAAATGGACAGTTAAAACACTGGGAGATAAGTGTTCTGATAAAGAGGAGCTTGTAATTATTCTGGTTACAGGAACCTTGGAGAGAGGCTTCTCAGGGAAGTGGTGATTAGACTGGGTCTTAAGGGATGAGAAGGAGTTAATTGAATAGGAGAGGCGAAGAAAATAACACTCATAAATACTGTGGTATGAGGAGATAATGTGCTATATTTGGAAAGTGACAGAGGGCTCTATTGTGAAGGAGTAGTAGAGAATGAGGCTAGAGGTAGGGAGACCTTTCCCCCCAAAGGGTAAGACCTGGAAGGCTTTATGTGCCTTTGATTTTATCCTTTAGGCCAGTGTTTGCCAAAATGCATGCTATGGAAAATTTGTCCAGTTAGATGTTCAGTGAAGAAAAAACTTCTCCAGTCAAATTATGTAAGTTCTTTTTCTTCAGCTTCCACTTAAGAGTCACAACATAACACATTGAAGACATGCATAAGGATAAGAATCACTAAGAACCCTGTTTGCCTTTGTTTTCCATTAACATTCTATGGATAGCTTCCCTTAAAATCAACAGAACAGATGTTTCCCAAAGGCAAACTATGAAACACTGCAGTAGGTGGTAAAAATTTATGGGCAGGTTCTAAGGTGAGTCAGAGGATGGGATTTGTTGGATAGAAAGTAACAGTATAGAGCATGGAATGAAGAGAGAAAGACTGAAGGGAAGGTGGTTTTGGTCTAGAAAATGATGAGGTCTGAAGTAGGGCAATGACAATGGTCACAGAAAAGAAAGGAATGGATTATGGCATTGGAGAGTACTTGGCAGGAGAGGGGTGAGGGGAAAAAGAGACAGGTTTCTGGTTTGAGTGACTGGGTGGGTGGCTTAGGTGCCTTTTGTAGAACAGAGGAACTCTGGAGGATGAGGTTTGGAGGGCAAGGTGATGAGTCTTTGGATTTGGAGGTCTGAGGCACCTGTGAAACATCTATATGCATACATACTCTGAGTTGGAGACAGAGTTGGGTGATATGAGCTTTGAGTGGTAGGGAAAAGCAAGAGGCTTGATGAGTTCTCCCAGGGAGACCATAGAGACAGAAGAGAGACTGAGGAACTTGGTATAAGACATTTTTGAGTTATTCTCTAATTCAGAAAATGTAGAGAACATTGGCCCATAAGATGACTGAAGCCCAAAGAGGAAGACTTGGCCAGAGTCCCATTATAGGATGTGATTTTAGTCATTGGAAGTGGCACATACATTTCTTCCTACTTAGCCCTTTGGTCTGTGGCTTCCTGTATCAATGGAGCCACAGTTGTAATAGATCTATATATTTTAAACACTTCAGCCCATGAGTGATGGATATTTACACAGATTAGGGATCTCCCCTTTGCCATTCATTGGGTTGAGTGACTTCTTATTAAGATATTCAAGGAGGGCACTATTAGACCCACCAACAGAAGAGGCTGAGAGAGAGGTGAGTAGTTTATACAAGATAACATAGAAGGGAGGCCAGTTAGAATAGGCCAGATGAAAGAGAACACTCTAGTGAATAAAAGGCTCACGGTTTGGTCTTTTACCTCCAACCAGATTCAGACCTACCAAGTACGTATTGAAAAGTAATGGGCAGGGGTGAAGTTGCCTGGTCTTTGACAGAGGGTCCTATTCTTTCCTACTCAGCTGACTTGGAGCTGGATGAGGTGGAAGACTTCCTTGGGGAGCTGATGACAAATGAGTTTGATACAGTTGTGGAGGATGGGAGTCTGCCCCAGGTGAGATTATCATGGACACAACTTCTACCTCCCCTACCTGTCATCTTTCTTCTCCTCAGCCATATGTTTTGGGCTATAACTGTTCTTTTCTTGGGTCATGCACAAGATGCTTCTAAGACTCCTTTAGCCCAGAGGAAAAGGTCTAGTTTTTCTAGGTCTTTTCATTTCTTATATTTCTTCATATATTATTCCCATCCAGGCCTGTATCTAACCCCAGTAGATTTCTACCTCTGCTACGGTTAACACTGCTCCCCCTGCTGAGATTGCTCTCCCTTTGACATCTTCTGTCTTTGAAAGTCTAGTTCTAGTGCCTTTCCTACTAGGAAGCCCTCTTTCAATGCTTCAGACCCTCACCTGAGCCCTACATATGTGATTTCTTCATTAGCAAACTTCTTAGGGAGGAAACAGCCCCATTCTCTTCTGGAAAATACAACTCCTTCCATAGTCTTGCTGCAAGCACAGACTGATTATATATACAGTAGATTCTCTGGAAAAATCTAAGCTGGTTGAATGTTTTCTTGGTAGGTGAGCCAGCAGTTGCAGACCATGTTCCACCACTTCCAGAAGGGTGATGGGGCTGCTCTGAGGGAGATGGCCTCCCACATCACCCAAAGAAAGTGCAAAGTCAAAGCCACTGCACTTAAGGCAGCCAAAGAGACTGATGGGGATCAAGATGATGCAGACAGCGTGGAAGAGATGGAGGTGAAAGGGGTGCTCCTTGGGTGGTGGTGGGGATGCAGATGTTTTCAGTTTTCTGGGGGAGGATCTAAAATCACAGAAATGATTGGGGGTGATTGTTTCTGGAGGTTGTGGTATTATCTGGAGAGGCATAGGTCACAGCCAGTCCTGGGGAAGTTGGGAGCAGAGCCTGGGTCTACAATGGCTAGTGTATTTAACACTCTGTCATGTACTTCTCTTCTATTTTTTATATTTCCTGTATTCACAGGTCACAGCTACAAATGATGGGGCCACCACGGATGGGGTCTCCCCCAAGCCTGAACCCTCTGATCCAAACTCCCAGAATATTAAGGAAGAGGATATAGTGGAAGATGGCTGGACCATTGTCCGGAGAAAGAAATGAGTGGGGCTGGAATTAGTTTGGGCCCTTGTTTGCTAGGTATTCTGAAACTTATTTGTAGGGCTTTTATGGAGGGCTATAGACCTCTGGATTGGTTATACTATTCCCACCCTCTTTCTTGTTCCTCTGTGCAGTTCCCTACAGGGGAAGAAAAGCCCTAAGGTTCTTGGTTTTTGGGGGGTCTAAGGCACTTGGTCCATCATACCCCCTTGGGCTTTAAGTTATCTGAGTGATGAGGCCAGTTTTCCCAGCATAGTTCCTCTTGGGTGCAGTCAGTGAAGAGGAGGGATGAGTGAATGTGGGCGTGGATGGAGGAGGAGGTAGACTCTAGTGGATACTAGACAGGAGGATTATGGAGAGGATGAGCCTGGGGACCAGTACTCAGTGCCAAGGGCTGGCTGGGTCAGGAATGGTGAGATGAACATGCAGATGAAAGAAAAGTTGAAGATGTAAGCAAAAGTAGCTGTGGTGCCTCTCCCTTACCCCACCCCACCACACCCGACACATAGCAACTCTTATTCCTGCTCAGAGCTTAAAACCTCCCAGGAATGCTCCCTTCCTACAGCCCAGCCTCTCACCCCAGGTTCCCTTAGGAATTCTAAGATCTTGGCAAGGTGGTGAGCTTGGAAGAAGAGTTGGGCTATTTTCTGTCTCCTCCAACCTCTTTCCTCATTCTTTATCCCATCCCATTTAAGTTCAGGGATGAGGCTTATGACCCTAATAAATAATACCCTCTTGTTTAATCTGTGGCTTGACCTGTGAGTAGCCTTGGAATCAGCCTTCTGGGAGTTGAACTTGAGAGTTCGGCAAGGGAGTGGTTTCTGGGCCCACCCTAGTAGCCTGGTACTTTGTATAAACAAACTATATGGATGAATGGAACACAGCAGTGCTCTGAAAGTTACTGTAAGCCTGAAATAAACTGTATTTTTCTTTAAAAAAAACAAAACAAAACAAAGAGTATCCATTGTCCTCCCCCCTGTTCCCTTGTCCTGCCCATTGGCCCTGCCATGGGTCTGGACGATAAAATACTGGGTAGCCTTGGAGCTGGGTAGAAGCTATAAGCCATGGGAGAGGCAGGAGGGGTCTAGTCACCACCCCACGTGGAGTTGTACACGTGAAGACACTGGCTGAGGAGGCAGGAGTGGTTTGGGGTCCCAGGGTCAGTGGCAGAGCTGGCACTTTGAATCCAGAACTCCTGCCTCTGATGCTTTTGAGGGAAATTGGGTGGAGGCAGGATCTGTGGGGTATTGTTTTGGGAGGGGACAGCCTAATTCAGGTGGGTATAGCAAAAGCTCCTACCCTCCCTGGAGATGGGGATTTAAAAAAATGAATATCACTGTAGGAATACTTTTTAAAAGCCCACGTTTTGTGAAAAGATGATTAAAAAACCCAAGACCCAGCATTCGGGATTGAAAGTGCCCGTGATGGGAGTTCAAGTATTGACTGAACTGGGAAGGAGGGGGCTGGAACCCCCCAACTGGACATGGGCAGCTAGTGTGTGGGATGGGGGCTCCCAGTTCCCCCCAAACCCTCTAGGTCTTGTCTCGGGTCTGGGGGACTTCAGGGGGTTCAGCAGTGGCTCCTGAAGCTGCCACTGGTGGCTCTTCCATCTCCCTGTCCTCGGACAGTGTGGGCCCTGGGCAGAACGTGTCCCCACGGCCTGCCCGGCCAAGCACAGCCATCCAGCGTCGCTGGAGCTCCTCTGTTTCAGGGCTGAAGTACCAGCTTAGGTGGCTCTGGGTGATCTTGAAGACATGTCTTCTGTCGGGCCTCTCCCCTGCCTCAGGAGGCCCCACCTCGAAGCCAATGAGGGGCAGGCTGCGCTGGGCTTTCACATCCTGTGGAGGAGGGATAGGGCTGGGATCACCTGGAGGCTGGACATTCCCCTTTGCCCCAACTTATAACGGGTTTTGCGTCTGCTCCCCTTTTTCTTTCCCTGCTCAAGAAGATTTCCTTGGTTAGGGGCCACAGTGCGTGCCTATAACCCAGTAACTCAGGAGGCGGAGTCAGGAAGATCAAAAGTCTGAGGCCGATCTCAGCAACTTAGTGAGATCCTATCTCAAATATTACATAAGGACTAGGGATCTCAGTGGTAAAGCATCCCTGAGATCAATCCCTAGTACCAAAAAGAAAAAAAAAAAAAAGATTACTTGGCCTTATTGTAACCAATAGGGAAATGTTTGAACTGGGGCTAGAATGCAGGCTGCTTCAAATACCCGTTTCCTCCCACACCCAAAAATAGCTGGGCTTGTCTCTTTGGCACAGTGTTTTCAGGACTTTGTCTAGGTCATTGCCCCTATTTACATGCTTTTCCCCACTCCAAATTGAACCTAGTAGTGCCCTGTCTTCACTCCTGATTCTTCCAGAAAGCCAGCTTCCACCCCAAACTCACCTGTTTTCCCTACATGCCTTGGCCCACAACCACTCCTTGTCTCTAGTCACTCTTTGTCACACAAGGGTGGGAATTCTAACTTTCCCTTAGGTAGTCACCCTATCCCCCCAAGGCCAAGGAAAGGTCAAAGGACTGGAGAGAAGGTGGGTAGCCTGATTTTGCCAGGTGGCTGAAAAGACCCAAAGGAATAGGATGCACACCTGAGGGGCTCCGTAGATGTACAGCACCAAGGGTTCATTCTCAGGGACCACGAACCATGCCTTGTGCCATCCTTTCCCACCCTTCTCCATGTAGTGCAGGAAGCTGCAGATGACACTGTTCTCTGCAGCCACGGAGGCCTGTTTCTGTAGTCAGAGACAAGGGGTGGTGTCAATGTTGATAGAAGGCCTAGCCTGACTCCTCTTGGCTTAAAGAGCCCCTTAGTGTATGGATTCCTATTCCCATGTCTTAGAGGAAAACAGTGAAGCTCAGGTGGCAGAATTGATTTGCCTGGTACCACCCAGAAAGTCAGGTAGAGTCAGAATTCAAAGCTAGGCTTATCTGTCTGGCTCAGGCCAGGGCTGCTGCTTCTAGAGCCAGGGAAGAGGGGGTATAGTTCTCAGCAGGGGCAACTAATAAATGTCTGTCAGGCACCCTTACTTCTGTCAGTCTATTTATTCTTCAAGTCATTCACACACTCATACCTCACCTTTTTTCATCTTTCGTCACATTCATTTGTACACTCAAGAGGCAATCTAGCATTATGGTTAAGGGGTGGGTGGTAAATGTAGTCTGGCTCAGAATTCCAGCTCTAGATGAAAATACATGGACTTGGAAGGAGAGCACAGAGGGCTGTTGTAAACATCAAATGAATTAATACATGTAAATATTTAGGATAGTTCCTAGCACAGAGTAAGCACTCTAGGTATTAAATAATAGTTTGTAAAAACAAACCCTTGGGCTAGGGTTGTGGCTAAGCAGTAGAGCGCTCGCCTAGCACATGTGAGGCCCTGGGTTCGATCCTCAGCACCACATAAAAATAAATAAATAAAGATATTGTGTCCAACTAAAAAATAAATATTAAAAAAAACCCAAAATGTATACATGTGCATGTGCCTAGAAAGATAGGAAGGATTGATGTTAGCAGTTGTGTCTAGGTAAAAGGAATATAGTATTTTGTTGCTTTTTGTTTATGCTATCTTATTTAGCCTACTTTGTAATGAGAAAAGGCAGTTTGTTAATCAAAAAAAAAAAAAAAAAATCTTAGGCATGCTTGGTGGTGCTTGCCTATAGTGACAGGTACTTGAGCAAGACTGAGGCAGCTTTTCCAAGTTCAAGGCCAACCTGGGGAACATAGCCAGACCCTGTCTCAAAAAAAGCAATATAAGCCAGGCGCAGTGGTGCATGCCTGTAATCCCAGCAGCTCAGGAGGCTGAGACAGGAGAATCGCAAGTTCAAAGTCAGCCTCAGCAATGGCGAGGTGCTAAGCAACTCAGTTAGACCCTGTCTCTAAATAAAATACAAAATAGGGCTGGAGATGTGGCTCTGTAGGCTAGTGCCCCTGAGTTTAATCCCTGGTACCAATCAAACAAACAAAAAGCAACACAAAACTCTAGCTTTGTCACTCACTGGCTATGTAATGGGCAAATAATCTCTCGGGGGCTCAGTTTCCTTGTTTGAAAACTAGGGATATTAATAGCATGAGGTAGGTTAGTTACTGTGAGGATTAAATGTGTAAAGCATTTTGAAATAATTACTGTTTCATTCACTCTTGCACTCATTTTATTCACTCCAAGCCTGGATCACTTGATCAACAGATGCACATCACACCCTAGTATTTCACAGAGTCCCAGGCTTCCTCAATCATACTAGCTAGGTGGCTGATGCCCACTTGTGGGATATTTGGTTAGGGGCCTGGCTCTTACCTCTAGGATGGATCTCCGGCGCTGAGGTGTATGCTGGCTGCAGGCTGGACTGCTCCCAGGCACCCCATGCAAGGCCACGTAGCAGTCAGTGCACACTCGGTTGGAGCGGTTGTTGTCATAGATAAGGCGGGCCCGGAACTCGGAGCACTTCCCACAAACCACCTGGGGTGGCAAGTGGGCAAGAGCAGCCTGATTCCAGTGGGCCTTCCCCTTCAATGTATCAACTCCCACAGCAGACTTGCAGCCTCCCCCCACTTGGAGGGTGCCCACTTACAAGTGAGTCTTTGGGCTGTCAGCCCGAACCCTCCTGAGCTCCGCCCCTGCCTCCCGACACTCACATGCCCGCAGGCCTTGCAGTGGTGCCTGCGTTTGGTGATGGAATTGAAGGGCTCCTGACAGCGCATGCACATGGTGACTTCCTTTTCCCGGATGGGCGTAGGTGCCCGCTTCCCAAGATCCACGTTCTACGGGGAGGGCCAGGTCCCAGGTCAGAGACAGTTCTTCCTCTGCCCAGTCCAACCAGCCCTTGTTCCTGCCCCAAGGCTTAGATCATCACAGCGGGGTTGGGGTGGGGGGGCAGCAGACAGTCAGAAGCCCTGCCTTTGAGTCTGGCTCTGCTCTTATCTCACTGTGTGTCTTTTCCTTTGGGGGCCCTAGTTTCCCCACTGATTTTTCTGTGGCCCTACCAACAGAAGACTGCACATTGACTCCAGAAGGGGAGTGGATCATTGTAAGGGAAGGTGGGAATTTGGAGGCCTGGATAGGGTCCCAGTATAGGAGGAGAGGTTAGGGACTCTTACTGGAGAGTTGGGGGGTGTGTCTTCATCTTCCCTATTTGTTGAGTTCAACAGTTTGAAGGTCTCCAGCGTCTGCTCATGCTTCAGGAGGGTGGAGTTGATGGCCTGGTGAGGGAGGATCAAGAAATGAGAGATCAGATTGCCCTACAAGCCACCCATTTCCATCCTCACCTCACCTTCCTATGCTATCCTGGAGTCAGAAAACTTGAGTTCTGTCCCTGCCAGGCATATGACCTTGAGCAAATTCCTCCCAATGCAAGTCTCAGTGTTATAATTGTAAAATGAGGAAGGGGAGCAATAGTTGAAAAACCAGGGGCCAGCTTTTCTGGCCCCTGTCTGGGCATAAGGTTTTATAGGGCTTGACTCACCAGGATCACACCCTCAAAGAAGACAGTTTTCTAACAGAAGAATTTGTAAGATTCTGTTTAACCTCTGGACCTCAGTTTGCTTATCTGTAATATGGGGATGCTAAAATTCGTTGGAAGGCAAGTGTCCAAGGCCATAGTGTTCAGATGTGTTTTGGGGAAGAGGCCACCAACCCCTATGACACCTGTTAATACTTTTCCAGCCCCCACCACAAAGTCTTCTTGGATGTTACCTGGACCCAGTCTTTCTTCTCCTCCTCTGTCCTTGGGGGAAAAAAGATGTTGGGTTAGGCAGGTCAACAAAAAGCAATTGGAACAAAAAAAAAAGCAACTGGAGAGTTGGGGATATAGCTCAGTGGAAGAATGCTTGCCTAGCAGGCATACATGAGACTCTGGGTTTGATCCCCAGCACTGTGGGGGGAAAGGCAACAACAATGACAACAACACAACAAAAGCAACTGGTGTGGCAAAGAGCCAGTGTTTTAGAATTAGACCTGGGTTTGACTATCTTCTTCACTTATTACTATGTGACTGGGGACCTGCCCCAGCCTGAAGTTTGGATGGGGGTTTTTAAGGAAACTTTCCTCAGGGAGGTGCAAGGGCTAATGTAAAGGAGTAAGGGTGAAGTGGGTGTGAGTATAGAACATACACAAAACCACATCAATAATTCCCTGTGGCTGGAATGTCAAGTTTGAGAAAGGAGGCAGTTTATTTTGTTTTCATTTGTAACATAAAGATGATTATCACTCTTTGTGTTGTTCTTAGCATAACTGAGGTGAAAGATAAAATGTCAATCAATGTGAGGTTTTCCTCCCTTTGCCTTCTTCCTGGACTCTCCTGTCTGCCCTCCATTCTCTCAGGTCTCTGCCCTGGTATAGCTTCATCAACTGCTCACTAGGAATAGGACCCTAAACTCTTGCTGCCTTCTATCTGGCCTATTTTAATTTCTTTCCTCATCCACACACTCTAGACATCAAAAACATTCTTCCAATATGAAAGTTCAATTATATCCCTAGAAACACTTCATGAAAAAGTAAGGATGTAAGTCAATATTTAGCTCCAAGAATGTCCACTGCAAGGCATTTTTATTATAGTAAAAACTGGAAGCAGTTTAAGCATCTGACAATAGAGATCAGGTTAAAACAAAACAGATCATCCATGTCATTACTACAAGAAGACATTAGCTGGGCACGGTGGCGCACACCTGTAATCCCAGCGGCTCAGGAGGTTGAGCCATAAGGAAGTTCAAGGCCAGCCTCAGCCACTTAGTGAGGTCTTAAGCAATTTAGTGAGACCCTGTCTCAAAATAAAAAATAAAAGAGGGCTAGGAATGTGGCTCAGAGCTTAAGCACCCTGGGTTCAATCTCTGGTACCCTCCCCAAAATTAATGGGGATGTGGCTCAGCCCTTGTCTGGCATGGTAAGGCCCTGGGATTGATCCCCAGCACAGAGAGAAAGAGAGAAAGAAAAATAATGGGGGGGAGGGAGAGGGAGAAGAGAGCTATTAATGGTATAGAATATTTATAATATGTTGAGTGAAAAGAACATATAAAATTATCTAATATCCAATATCCTATTATTTTTTGGCACTGGGGATTGAACTCAGGTACACTCTACCCCTGATCGTATTTTATTTCAAAATTTGAGACAGGGTCTCACCAAGTTGCTTATGGCCTTACTAAATTGCAGAGGCTGGCCTTGAACTTGCAATCCTCCTGCTTTAGCCTCTGGAGTTGCTAGGATTACAGGTTGTACACTATCATGCCTGCATGTGTCAAACTCTTGAGGGGGGATGTGTAATGATGTTTGTAATTTATTTTTAAACACGTTTTAAAAACAAATCAATTGGCTTGGTAGATGAATAGAATGATAGATACATGATAAAGTAAATATAGTACAATGTTAACACTTTTATAATGTGGAAAGAAAAGGCCATGGGTTATGTCTGTGTGGTAGGGTTCTAGGGAGAATTTTTACTTTATTCTGATGGCTATTTATGTATATTTTCTAATTTATAATTTCTTTGCAGTGAAAAAGCATTGCTTTTTTTTTGGGGGGGGGGGCGGTAATGGGGATTGAACTCAGGGGCACTTGACCACTGAGCCACATCCCCAGCCATATTTTGTATTTTATTTAGAGACGGGATCTCACTGAGTTGCCTAGCACCTCACCATTGCTGAGGCTGGCTTTGAAATCCCAATCCTCCTGTCTCAGCCTCCAAAGCTGCTGGAATTACAGGTATGTACCACTGCACCTGGCTTTCTTTTGTTTTTTAAGAACCAAAATAGTATTTTTGGCCACTCATGCTGAATTATATAGGGATAAAATTTCATGATTTTTGTAATTTAGTTTAAAATGACTCATGTCAGTGCATGCTTATAGTCCCAACTACTTAAGAGGCTGAGACAGGAGGATTATTTGAACCTAGCAGTTTGAGGCCGGTCTGAGAAACATACTGAGACCCTGCCTTGAAAAACAAAAACACAGCTGGGTGCAGTGACGCATGCCTGTAATCCCAGTGGCTTGGGAGGCTAAGGCAGGAATCTTGTGAGTTCAAAGCCAGTCTCAGCAATTTAGCAAGGCACTTAGCAACTCAGGACACCTTGTCCCTAATAAAATAATAAAAAAAAAAATCTGGGGATGTGGCTCAGTGGTTAAGCATCCCTGGGTTCAATCTCCAGTACCAAACAAAACAAAACAAAGCAAAACAAACAAAACACAAAACAAACAACAAGAAAGCAAAAACCCCAAACCAATTATATTAAACCAAAAAAGATATAGATGGCAAAATGTCCATAGTTGTCTCTCTCTCTCTCTTTCTCTCTTCGTGGTACTGGGAATGGAACTCAGGACCTCATGGATGCTAGGCAAGTGCTCTACCACTTGTTGCATTTGACTTGGTGATTCTAAGCCCTGGTGCACAAATTGAAATAAGCTGGGGAGCTTTTAAAACTTCCCATTTTTTAAGGCCACATCCTAGAATAATTAAATCAGAATCTCTGGATGTGGCTCCCAGCTATCAATATTTACTATAAGCTCCTCAGTTGATTCCAAGAGTTGCCAAGGTTGAGAACCAGTTGTCCAAATTGTGAGCATATGGGTGTTTGTTATAGTTCTACTTTTCTTGATAGTTGAGAATTTTCATTTAAAAAATAATAAGGGCAGTAAAAGCAGCTGCAAAGCCAACTTTCCATACCTTCCTGTTGCCACTAGGAGGAAACCCTACACTGCTTGGTCCAGTGATCTCTGCAGCCCCCTCCCTCTCTGTAGTCAACGTGTCCCTGTCACATGGCTTGTCATTCTTTCAGATGTGTCTGTTTTGCTCCTGCTGTCCCTGCTGCAGGCCTCAGGGAGGCTCTCTCAGACTCCTTCCGTTTCAAGGACCAAGTCTCAGCTCGCTTTACTCTCAGTTCACACTCATCTCTGTTCTGTCTCAATGCAGTCCCTCCACACAGCCTGTCAGAGGCAGGTCATCTGCTGAGGTGAATCTATTCTCCAGTCCTGGCCATGACCTTCATATCCCTTTTCTCAGAAGGCAGCCTAGACAGTGGTTGAGGGAGTGGACATTAGACCCAAGTGGCCTGAGCTCCAATTCCAGCTCTGTTCCTTTACAGCTGTGGGATCTGGGGCAACACTGTCTTATGCCTCGGTTTCCCCATCTGTAAAATGGGTTGGTGGCAATCATAGCCGAAGTAGCTACTTGAAATAAGTGTTATTGAAAGGAAGGACTTCAACTAGACAGTTCAATTAAGTTAAAAATAGTACCTGGCACAAGAGTAAGACTTTATGAAATATAATCTATTAATATAAACATCCACATAGAGGATAGATATCAAAGCCCCTCTGTTAAAAGGCTCAACACTTTACTCATGCTATTACTTTTACAATTTTATTTTATTTTATTACTGTTATTATTTGCAGTACTGGGGATTGAACCCAGGGACACTTAACCACTAAGTTACATTCCCAGACTGTTTTCTTTTTCTCTTTTTTTGGTACTGGGGATTTAACCAGTGCTTAAACACCAAGCCACATCACCAGCCCTATTTATTTGTTTATTTATTTATTTATCTATTTATTTATTATTTTGAGACAAGGTCTCACTAAGTTGCTTAGGACCCTGATAAGTTGCTGAGACTGGCTTTGGACTTGTGATCCTCCTTCCTCAGCCTCCTGGGTCACTTGGATTATAGGAGTATGACAATGTGCTCATTACATCTAAGGTTCAATTCAATCCTTATCTAGCAAATCTCATTTTAAGCTGTTTTTCCCAAACCAGGCTTCTATCGTGGAGCACACATTGCATTTAGTTATTTTCCTTAAGTCTGTGAATCTACAATAAACTATCTGTGGTGCTATTATTGTATGTTAGAGTTAGTATTCTACTCTTCCCTGTCCTCTGACAGAACCCACCAGAAGAAATTCTTGTTTGAATCAGGGAGAGCTTATTCTTTCTCCAAAAGCCCCCCACTGGCAGGAGTGCTGACTTTCCCCACACCAGTAAGTACTTATCCTTAGTCCAAATATCATCTAGCTCTCAGGGGTGGCCCCCATTGCAGAAGAGCAAGCCTGCATCTTTGGGGAAAGGTGGTCATCCTTTCTCTATAATAATCTCCAGGCCTGGAATACCTAAGCATATCTTAAGGAGAGAGGAGGCTGTAAGGAAGGCATAGGCAAAGGCAGGTACCTGGCCTGGAGCTCCAGGGAGCGCTGCTTTCCTGACACCAGGAAGGTCCGAGGCAGATTGAGGTTGGAGCTCTCCTTTAGCTGAATGGAAGGAGAAAGGGTAGTGATAAGGCCTACTGAGCTCCCTAGAGCCCTAGTCCTCTGCACTTATACACACAGGCTTATGTTCAAAGCTAGCACATCTTTGTTCTTCCCAACACCAACACCCCAGTCTGGATTCCCATTTCCCACCTCCTGGTGCTCACCTCCATGCCATCTACATCAATGCGTGCCCGCACGCTAAACTTCTGGCCAAGGAGCCGCAGCCTGGGCACGCAGTAAAGGAGGCGGTCGTTGAACTAGGAAGGAAAAGGTTTGGGATGTATGTGCAGGAGACCTAGTGGGGATATGGCCTGGCTCCCCACCCTTATGGGACTTCCAAAGCTTTATTGTTGAGGACTCAAGGCAATAGATGGAGGAAAGAAAGCCCAGATTGGGATCAGGGGTTGCAAAGAAAGAGCCTAGGCATGTGAGTCACTTTCTAGTGGGTGACCTTGTTCAAGTCATTTATCTCTAAGTCTTAGTTACATCATCTGTAAAGAAGAAAAAATAATTCATAACATAGATAGTGATAATACAAGATACCATAGGAAAGAAAGTCTGGCTGGAGGCATATTCTTGAGTACCATGTCAACATGAATGGGGATCTGGCATGCCTACCCACAACTACACCTGGCACTTACTAGTATGAGGTATCGGTCTTGAGTGGTCCCATTCTTCGCTGACAGCTTAAGGATGTGGCCTTCTTTTATGAGCTCTTTGGTGGGGCTGACAATGTCTTCCTCACCCCCTAGCAACTCATATACCTTCAGCAGCTTGTGCATTCGCTCCTGGAAGGAGACAGTGAGCAAAAGGGAAGGCTTGGGGTGCCAACCTCCCTTGCATGTCCTTACATCACAAGCTCCCCAAACCCTGGAGAGGGACACCACAAGTGGGTGGCAAAGGAAGGGAGGATCTATAAGGGCCACTCACCATTTTTCGGATGGCAGCATTAGAGTGCTCTGCCGCTGTGGCTATCAGCTCCAGAGACTCTATAGGTAGAGAAGTGAGGTCAGATGGAGGGTTAGCAGAAATGAAGCTCTTGGGGGCTTTTTCCCTCCCTGAATACTTCCTCCTGGCCTGACCACACCCCCCAACCCATCTTGGAAAGTTCTAGCCTCAAAGATGTCCAAAGCAACATCATACGGAATCTGAAACTGTCTCAAGGCCACAATAGCAGAATCATAGTATATGGGATGGCAGACAGCCATTAAATGCAAGCTTGGCAAAACTATTATTATCATTAATAGTAATGACAATAATAGTTACATATAAAAATTCATGTTTAGCAAGTTGTCTCTGGATGGTGGGACTGTGGGTGGTTTTTATTACATTCTTTAGATTTTCTGTAATATATATATAAAATAAACAAATAATATATGAAAACTATATATATTTGTACTGGAGATCAAATGCCAGGGTACTTCACCACTGAACCCAGACCTTTTTATTTTTCATTTCAAGACAGGGTGTAAATTGCCCAGGTTGGCCTTGAACTTGTGATATTTCTGACTCAGCCTTCTGAGTTGCTGGGATTGCAAGGATGTAGCACCACACCCATCTTCTCTTCCATAGGTGTGAGTGTGTATGTGAGTGTGTGTATGTGTGTGTGTGTGTGTGTGTGTGTTTGCTTTTTAGTACAGGGTGGGGACTGGAGATTGAATCCAGAGGCATTTTACCATTGAGCTACATCCCTAGCCCTTTTAGACTTTTTAATTTTGAGATAGGGTTTTACTAAATTGCTTAGGCTGGCCTTGAATTGACCATTCTGCTTTTGCTTCCCAAGTCATTAGGATTACAGGGTGCACCACTGTGCCTGGCTCTTCCATAGTTTTGACAAAGAACATGTATTACTTTTATAATCAGAAAAGTCATATAAATAAACAAAGAGAGGCTAGAGATATAACCCAGTGGTAGAGTGCTTGCCTAGCATATTTGATGCCCTGGGTTTAATCTCCAGCACCCTAAAAGAGAGTGGGGGAGATGATCCTTTTATCTGTCTCAATAATTCTGATTATAGGCACAAGTTCTATGTATAAATACACTTTCATTGAAGTGATGTTTTTAATGTGCCAAGTTGAAAACAAAAACATCCAACTGTAGCAGTTTGGTTAAATCATGGTACACTCATGTAATGGAATATCAAATGATTTTTATAAGTGATACTTATGTAGGATTCTTTTTTCTTTTTGTACCAGAGATTGAACCCAGGGGTACTTAACCACTGGGCCACATGCCAAGTCCTTTTTATTTTTTATTTTGAGACAGTTCTAAGTTGCTTAGGGCCTTGCTAAGTTGCTGAGGCTGGCCTCAAACTTGTGATCCTCCTGCTTCAGTTTCCCAAGTCACTGGGATTACAGGTGTGTGCCACCCAGCCCAGTTTATGTAGGGTTTTTAACAGTCTGGGAAATGCTCAGGGTATTTTAAGGATACAATCTTGTATATACAGGATGATCTCATTTTTGCAAATTTACATACCTAAAAAACACTAGGAAGAATAATATCAAAGTGCTCATCATGCTTATTCTACATGGGTTTGGATCACATGAGATTCTCTCCTACTTTAATCTTTTCTGTAATTTCCATATTTCCTACAGTGACCAGGTATCATCAGAAAAAAACTGAAGTGTTCTGGGGATGGTGGCGCATGCCTATAATCACAGCAACTCAGGAGGCTGAGGCAGGAGGATTGCAAGTCCAAGGCCAGCTTTGGCAACTTAGTGAGGCCCTAAGCAAATTGGTAAGACGTTGTCTCTAAATTTATAAATAAATAAAAAGGGCTGGGAATGTAGTTCAGTAAGGCAGCCCTGGGTTCAATCCCTAGTACCCAAAACAAAACAAAACCCCCAAACCAACAAAAAACCTGAAATGAGTCCCCAAGCACTAAACAAATCCTGCCCCTACTAATTGCCTGGACATAGCTTTACTGGTCCCTATTCTACATACTGTATTTCCCTATGTTTGTATTGGAGGGCCACAGGTACTTCTGAAGAGGCTCCATATGGTTGGTAAACCAAGTCCTGTTTTCGTGCTCAAGCATCAGGTCCCTGTCCTGGCTCAGGCCTCCGCATGCCTTTCAGGTGTTGGGCTATCTCCAACCTCTTTTCTACCCTGATTGCTAGAAGAAGCTTTGTCACACACAGCTCACTGTCACTCTTCTGCTCAAATCTGTCAATGGTTCCCTGTACCTGCAGAGCAACGACTCAGCCCTTTAACCTGGCATTCAAAGCCCTTGGTGATCTGGCTTCTGCTGACCACTTCAGTTTCCTCCTCTGCCCCTCCCTAAACATGTTTATCTTGCTTCACTCGGCCAACTGCTAGTCAGTCTTCCAGATTCTGACCACTACCTCCATTAAGCCTGCCCTGAATTCCCAGGCTGATTGAGGAGACTGTGTTTCCAAATTCCCCTTTGCCTCCTTCTGTCCCACTCGTCACACTGTGTGTTCATCATACATCTACATTTGTGTCCCTCAGTAGACTGTGAGCTACTTAGGACAGGGCCAAGGTTCCACTACCTTTTCAGGATTCCCCAATAGATGCTTTTCATAAACTGGCTCCTTTGATCCTCACAACCCTGGCAGATAGATGTGACTGTGTTCTATTTGTCCAATGACAAAACCAAGACTCAGAAAGCAGGTGGCCACTTTAGGTTGGCTAGCTGGGAGGTGATAGTTGGCATCAGAGCAGGGGCTGATCTCCCTGTTGTCTTTTCTCCTGCATGTCCTCCATTCCAGGGTAAGTGGCAGGCTGAGTGGTGAACATAGGGGAGCCCAAGGGAGGAAAGAGGAATATTCTGGCAAGCTTGAAGCACACAAGCTCAGGCCTATTTTAGGCCACTGGGCTCAAGACTGGAAGCTTTGCTATAGGGACCTCTGTCTGAAGAAGTATCACTTGAGGTACAGAATGGCATTTCCAGGAGTCTGGTGTGAGCAGGTTCAGTCTAGGGGATTCGTGTGGGGATGTCAGCCCATGATTTCACCTGGGGTTCAGGCCAGGGAGTACAGTTTGGTGCAGAAGTTTGGTCTAGAAGCTTTCATGGAGCCTGGTTTGGGCTTGGCAGTCTGGGATCTTGGTTTGGAGTTCAATCTTAACTCAGTGTAGGCAGCCTACTTAGCCTGGTCTGGGGACTCAGTCTATGGTCTAGGCTCAGGAGTTCACTTTGGAGCTAGAGAGTGGCTAAGTCAGTTTGTGGAACCAGAGATATGATTCAGTGGGGCTCAGCCAAGAGATTTTAGTCTGATGGGTAAATAATAGACAGCTCAGTTTAAGATCTTGGGCTGGGGAGCTTAGTGGGCACATCTTAGCTAGCTTTCATTCAGAGATCATCATTCTGAGCAGCTTATAAAACCGGACTGGGAAGTTCTTGCTGGGGGTTTCACCTTTGGGCTCAATATGGGGAGCCCATTCAGCCAACCTCAAACTCTGAGGTTCATTCTGGGGACTTGGATAGGGTTGGGATTAGTACAAAACAGGAAACTAAGTTTGAAAGGCCCAATCTGGGGGTTAATTTTAGAGGGATTCTGTATGGATGACATTATCCAGGACATTTGGTAATAAAAAACAGCTTGGGCCTTGACCATGTGCCAGGCACTGTGTTTCAAAATTATCTCATTTATCCTCAAAACAACCCTAAGAGGTAGCCATCATGATTCTACTTCTGCATGTACAAAAACTGGGGTGAGAGGCTGAGTAGATTGCTGGAGAATGCACTATTGACAAAAGAGGCTCAACCTGTGGCCCAATCTAGGGAGCTTATATTGGCAGCTCACTTTGGAGTACAGTTCAGGGAACTCCTTTAGGGAACTTCCATCTGGGAATCTCATGCTGGGGATCCAGTAAAATGAAAGAACCGAGTCCTAGAAGCTTAATGTGGACATGTGATTCTATGGGGCTCTGTAGAGAAATGAGATAGGAGGTACCTTCTGAGGACCCTAGCTGGATGGTACAAAATGTGGGGAGTTAATATAGCAGTGAGGCACCTTTCTTGGGTCTCAGCACAGGGCTGTCTGGAGACTTGTCTGTTGGACTTGGCCCAGAAAAATCAACTCAGGAATTGAAGTCTGAGAGATAGAAAATTAGAGGTTCAGCATGAGGGAAGTCAGACTGAGAGTTGAGACTTGGAAAATCAGCCTATGAGGTACTCAGCCTATGTGGCTTAATTTGGGGGACAATCCAGGGCATTAGTCTGAGGGCTTAGTGAAGGACTCTCAATCTAATTGATGAAAAATAGGGCTCTTCAGAGACTTGGGCTAGGGAAAACACAGTCTGGAATACTTGGAGCTCAGGCTGGGCTGCTCAATTTCAGGGTCATTTCTGGGGTTTACATTGGGGAACTGTGAGAATCCAGTCTGAGGATTCAGTGATGTTTCAATGTGTGGGATGGAACAGGAAAATCAGTCTTTTGGGCTCAGGCTGGAAGTTTTAATCTAAGGGATAAAAATGGTGGGATTAACCTAGGGGGTTCAGTCTGGCAATACCTGTCTAGAGAATGATGGCCAAGGAGATAAGATGAGTAGCTCTTTGGGGGAATCTCACTTTGGGACTCAGGCCAAGGGCACTGATTAGGAACCCACTCTCAGGGCTAAGAGTGGGGTGATCATTCTTGAGGCCTAGTCTGGGGATCTAAATTTGAGAGCCCTGTAGGGGTCTATAATTGCGACCTCAGACTTTACTTAGCTTAAGGGCTCAAGTGGGAGATGTCAGTTCATGGGGTTCATCCCAAGGAATCATTCAGGTTCTTTCTAGAGGTTTAGGTTAGGCACCTCAGTGGGGCTCTTATTCTGCGGGAGGAATGAGATACTTAGTATTTTAGCGGGAGGAATGAGATACTTAGTATTTTGTATTCATTTGGAGATCTCAGCTATCAAACTTTCTAGAGGTCTAGCTCTTTCTAGAGGTACAGGCTTGGTAGCAAAGTATCCCATCTGGTAGGGTGAAGGGCTAAGTAGGGAAGCAGACACAGCACAGGACACAGTTGTTTACTCTTCATTCTTGTGGCTTCCACACTTTCCCTGTTTTCTTCCTACCTTTATGGCTGCCCCTTCTAAGTCTCCTTTTCTGATTCTACTTCCCTGAGTTTTGTCCTAGGTCCTTTTTCTCCTCCATTTACACTCACTCCTTATGGTGATCCTGGCCAACTCCATGACTTTCGATACTTTCTATGTGCCAGTGAAATCTAAATCTCTCTCCCTGGAATTCTAGACTCATCTAACTGCCAAAATTGGCAGCTCATTTTTGTCTAAAAGCCAAATTCCTAAACTTATCTAAAAAACCAATATTCTTGTGGCTCAGTGGTAGAGCACTTGCCTAGTATGTGTGAGGCAGTAGGTTCAATTCTCAGCACCACATATAAATAAGTGAATAAAATAAAGGTCCATCAACAACTAAAAAATTTTTTTAAAAGAAGATCCATCATTCTTTTTTTTGTACTGGGGATTGAACCCACAGGTGCTTTACCTCTGAGCCACATCCCCAATCCTTTTTATTTTTATATGAGACAGGATCTTACTAAGCTGCTGAGGCTGGCCTTGAACTTGTGATTCTACTACCTCAGCTTCCTGAGTCACAGGTATTACAGGCATGCACCACCATGCCCAGCTAAGAACCATTGTTCTCAGCTCTCCCAGGCTCCATATCCACTCTAAGGCCTTTCAGTGCCACTTCCAAATAGAATATAACCTGAATTCAATCTTTTCTAACCATTTCCACTATTTCATTCAAGTCAGCTTTTCTCATTTAGATTATTGCAAAGGTCTTCAAATTAATCACTTGGTTCCCTCTCTTCTTCCCATGTAATCCAGACAAAAACTTTCCCATGGCTATCCACCCCACTCAGAATAAATCCATCTCCTTATCTTGACCTTCAAAGTCTTGCTTATCTCTCCAACCCCACTTCTATTCTACCCTCACTTGCCATGCTCGAATCATAGTGGCCTTTATTTTGATCCAGAGATATGCAAGCTTCCCACCTCTCAAAGTTTCCCCAGTATCCCTATTGCCTTGGGGACTCTGCACCTGCTGTTGCCTCTGCCTGAAATGTGCTCCTCCCATTGGCATGTAGCTATCTTCTTCTGGTTATTCAGGTTTTGACTCAAATGTCTTCTACTCAGAGAAGCCACCCAATTTAAAGTAGACTGCCCAGTCACTGTCATATCACTCTCTTCTAATTCTCTGAGTTACACTTAGCATCTACCTAATGCCCTCCTGTGCATTTGTTACTTTAATCATTTCTCTGCCCAACTAGAATACATGCTTTCTGAAATCAAGGCCCTTGTCTGCTTTGTTTGCGTCTATATCTCCAGTGCCTAGAGCTCTGCCCTAAATATTAAGGTGCTCATTTGTTAAGTTAATGAATGAATAAATATAAATAGCAGTCTGGGGAAGGGCAAGTGGGGTGGACCCTGGGGAGCTCTACATGGGGTGTGATGCTATAGGGATGGGACAGGTACTGGAGGAGTCACAATAAAATACTTTTCTAGTGGTTTAGTGTGTAGGGACTCAGTCTAGGGAGGAAGTTTCTTGGCCTAGAGATCCAAATCTGAGGTAGAAAATAAGGGAACCAGTTTAGGGTGATCATTTCTAGAGGTGATTCTGTGGGGCCCTGATCAAATTTGGATGTTCTTTTGGAAGGTTCATTTTGGGGAGTGGATAGTGGACATAGAATGGAGCTCTTTCTGGGGAGCTCAGCCATGGAGACTTAGTAAAAGAGGTCTTGGTCTGAGGAAGTTAGGCTAAGCTCTAGCCTAGAAGCTCAGTCCCTGGGGATTCATGTTCAGTTTAATTTTGTACTTGTACTTCATTTGGGGATAAATCTGAGGGTCAGCCTAAAAAAAGGATGGCTTCCTTTAGGGGGTCAATCTGGGCATGCCTCTCAAACTCTGGGGTTCCATTTGGGAAGTTCCAGCTGGGACACTCCTTTTGAATGTTCTTTCTAGGTACACAGGGAGGGATCTTAACCTGGAGGTTCATCCTGAGGTCTCAATTCAGTGTCAATGTAGGTCTTTCAGTTTAGAGATTCTTTCTATTCTTGGATCTCAATCACATGTCAATGGAAAGCTGAACCTGGGAATTAAGTTTTGGGGACCTGCATGAGAGGTCTGACCCAGGGCTGTCAGTGTCAGGGAGCAGGGCAGGGTCTGGGTACACACACTCACTTTGGGCATCCTTGCTGTCTGGGGAGCCATGAGGCAGCTTTAACAGATAGTCCTTGAGAAGCAGCTCATAGCGGGGGATGCGCTGCACAGGCTCCAGCATGTGGTGCTGCAATGTCAGATTGCCACAGGCTTCCTCCTTCTGTGACAGGCAGAAAGAGAGGAGCTCAGGTCTAGTTGCAGACACACCCCCCAACAGGTCCCTGCAGATCTTTCCTCCCTCCGTCTGCTCCATCCAGGTTCGCCACTCACCTGCACCTCATGGATGATGACTTTGAACTGGGTGGAGCGCTCTGTCCAGGTGTTGACCAGCTCCACAGCCCTATCAAAGTTCTTCACATACTCGCCATACATCTTGAGGAAGGGTGCCAGCTTCTGCAGGATGTCTCCAATGCGTGGGTAGCGGTCCCTGGGGTAGAAATGGGGGCTGATGTGGTCCTGCTGAACCTTAGCTCCCAGGGACCTCCCTCATAGGTCTCTAGTCCCAGGCAGATCACTCTCATTTCAGTCCTGGAAACCTACTTCCCAACCAGTTGACTTCTTTGGAAATGCTGCTTACATAGGCCAATTAGGCCAGGAGGCTCTTTTGACCTGAGAACACGGCCTGGGAGGCCTCCTGCCTTGACTCCTGCTCAAGCACCAGGAACAACATGTCCTGGAACATCTGCCTTGACTTTACTGCAAGACCTATATAATTGATTCTGTGCCCAATCTTGTGTTAAGTGGTGTTGGGAACACAGAAATGAGTCACACCCAGTTGAGCTCTGAGAGGTTCACTGTCCATTGCGGGAGGCCAAGAAACCAGGTCTGCTCATAATCCTCGCTAGTCATAGTCTGATGTGGGAGATAAACCAGACCTGAGGTCATGGGCTCCTGGGGAGATAGCAAAGCCAGGTTTCATGCCAGGCCTCTGTGATCACAGTCTGGTAAGAGGGACACAGTTTATCTTATAAGTGTGGGGAACATGTAGACAATTTTAAGCGGGGGCTGATATGATCTGGTTGTTGTTAAATGATCATTCAAGCAGGTGGTATAGGCTGAATTGAAAGAGGAAAGCCTAGAGGCTAGAGTTTATCTGTAAAACCTGCCCCGCTCCCTCAGGACTAGGTTCAGGCATTATCTCCTCTCTAAATCTGTTCTCAGACCCCCAGGCTAGGCTTGATCCATCTGTTTGATCCCTACACCCTCCCATTCTCACCTCTATCATAGCACAGATAAAAATAACAATAGCTGACAAATACTGAGCACTCAGATACTGGGTACTGTTTGTTAAGAGATCTCCACATGTATCAATTTATTTAATCCTTAAAATAACACTTATTATTCCCATTGTAAAGATGAGGGGTCAGGCACAAAGGTTCACACCTATAATAATTCCAGCTACTTAAAATTCGCAGGCAGGAGGATTACAAATTTGAGGCCAGACTCAGCAATTGAGTAAGACCTTATCTCCAAATAAAAAGTAGAAAGGGCTGGGAATATAGCTCAATGGTAAAATGCCTCTGGTTTCAATCTCAGTGCCTAAATAAATATGAGGAAACTGAGGCACAACAATTTAAGAAATTAGCAAGCAGCAGAGTCAGAATTTGAACATGCCAGTTTATCTCTGGATACTTTGGATTCTCTTGAGATTGTGTAAATCTTTCACCTTGTATCAATTTAGCTTTGAACCTCATACTTTTTTTCTTCCAGTAATGGGGATTAAACCCAGAGGTACTTTACTACTGAGTTGCAGCCTGGGCCCTTTTTATTTTTATTTATTTTATTTTGAATCAGGGTCTGGCCAAGTTGCCAAAGCTGGTTTCCAACTTGTGATCCTCCTGCCTTAGCTTACCAAGTAGCTGGGATTACAGGCATGTGCTACCATGTCTGGCCTGAACTTCACCTGCTTAAGGGCTCTGCTATTCTGTTGTAATCTTCTAAATCTACATCTGTGCTACACTCAGGAGGGCCTAGAAGGTGCAGCTTGGTTCTTTTTATGGAAGTCAGTAAGAGAGGGCAGGTAGGAAACTTTCTTCTTTTTATTTTGTGGTGAATATGAACAAATCAGGGCATGCTAAGCAAGCACTCTACCACTGAACTACACCCCCAGACCAGGAATGAACTTTGTTAAGAGACAAGGTCTTGCTATGTTGCTCAGGCTGGCCTCAAACTCCTAGGTTCAAATGTACACATCTGGGCTTAGGATCAGCAGCAAATTGTAGGCAGCCTAGCTCTGGGGCCTCTCACCATTCCTCCATGCGCTTCTCTAGCTCAGGCAACAGGAACTGCTGGTGGAAGCAGTAGATGGAGCAGATGTTAGAGAAGATGCCATGTACAACATCAGCTGGGAAGGAACTGCGGTTCCGAGCTTCTTCTAGCAGACGGGCACAGAACACCTGCAGAGTAAGGCAGGAGCATTTAGCCCAGCTGGGCTTGGGGCTTGGCTGGGGAAGGGCTAGCTTGCAGGTGAGGGTAGTGTTTGTGGGAATTTTTGTGAGGGTTTGGGATCAATATTGGTTTGGAGACTGAGGAGAAAGGGAATGGAATTAGGGTTATATATGGAGTTGGACTTCACAATGTTAAGGTTAGCAGTCAGACATTGGAACAATGAGAAGTCAGGATCGGAGTCAAAGTCAGAAACAGATTCAGGATCAGATAGAAAGTTGGAATTAAATCCATTCATTTAACAAATATTTCTGAGTGCCTACTGTGTCCCAGGCACTGTCCTGCTGGTTAGGATGGAGGAGTGAACAAAGTAGATAAAAATTCCTATTGGACTTGGGGTCAGGCAAAGGGCCAGAATTAGAGTGAAGTTCAAATAAGGGGTAAATTTAGGATCTGGAGAATAGTCAGTATTAATGTTAGAGTTGTAATCAGGGCTGGAATACCTGTCCAGGCTTAATATCAGGATCAAACTTGGAATAATAAAAATCAGAGTTGGATTCAGGGACAGTTAGCTTCAAGGTCAGAGAGGGGCCTTACCACCTCTAGATTCTAACCTCAGTGGTAAGGTTAGGCTCAGGTCCTATCATTTCTTCCTTGGAACCCATCTATCAGGTAATGGGTCCCTGGGACCCCTGAGGGGACATTCACCTGATCCAGTAGATGGAGCCTGGAAACATAAGCCTTCTCAGTTTGCAGGAGCTCATTGGCAATGTGGAACACCTTCTGCTGCACAGTCAACTGAAAGGAGAAGAGTTGACGCTTGATTCATCATCCTCCACCCTAACCCTTACCCAAGTTTCTAGAATAATTTGTTAAGAGACAAGGTCTTGCTATGTTGCCCAGTCTGGCCTCAAACTCCTGGGTTCAAATAAGTGATCCTTCTACTTCAGCCTCCCCAGTAGCTGGGACTCCAGGCACATGCCATTTTACCTGGCTCCCCTAGTCTTACAACAGCTCACATCGTGCTCTAAGCCCAATGCTGCCCTGAGATAACCATAACCCCATCTCTAGACACTTAAGTCCTCTCCTGCTTCATCCCTGACTCCCCAGTTGATCACAAAGCCCACCCTCAATTCTGATAATATGTACTTACTCACTCAGTCATTCATTTATCTTTTCATCTGCTCTCTCTGTTCACTGGGCATAGTGTAGTGGTTAAGCACAGGGACTGGAATGTCAAAAGACTTCATGGGTTCAAATCCTAGCTCTGCCACTTACAAGATTGCGTAAGTTGTTTAACTGCTCTGTATATAAGATCCCTCATCTATAAATTCCAATTATAAGAGGACCTAAGCCCATTTGTAATTCAGACAATTATATAACAGAGTAAACTACAGATCAAGTAGTTTATAAATATTAGTTAGCTATTTATTCACCCATTCAGTTTATAGTCAGCAAAGGCTTGATGATTACCTGGGGGTGAGATAAACACACAAAAGTATAGAAAGGTCTAAAACTCATTGCTGGTTCAGTTTCCTGATTTGCTAGATACATATTCACTGAATACCTTTTATCCCAGTAATTTATGGCCTTAGCCCCCACACTTGAGCTTGGTCCTGGCAGAGCAGCTGAGATCTAACTCAAGTGCAAGGATGCCTTTTGAAGAAATATTAGGTTGTAAGGGTACAGAAAGGGGTCCCTGAAGTTAAGAGTCTCCTTCTCAGGCTGGGGGTGTAGCTCAGTGGTAGAGAGCATGCCTTGAATGTGTGAGGCACTGGGTTTGATTCTCAGCACCACATATAAATAAAAAATAAAGGTCCATCAGCAACTAAAATGAATAAAATAAGTAATTAAAAAAAAAAGAGTCTCCTTCTCCACAGGCTTAAGTCTTTCTGAGGCTCTAGATCTTGTGCCCTCCCTCCAGCTGCCAGGAAGCCTCTCTGGAATGTGAGACTTTCTCTTATACAAACAAGGATACTGAGGTTTGTGGTAAGAGAGCAGAGAGGGAAGAGACTTGACCAATGTCACACAGCTACTGAGTCATGAGATTTTCCCAATTGGGACAGAACTTTAAAGATCCCCCAACCAGAATGCCCATCTTCAGAATGGAAAACTGAGGTCTGGCTAGTGGTTCTCTGATGAAGGTAGAACCACCTTCCTAGTGGGCATTTGGAATGAGGCATGGTCATTTTGGTGGTCACAATAATTAGAGGGGTTTTACTATCAGTATTTAGTGCCAGGATACTAGGGAAGCTAAACATCCTAAATGGAAACAATGCCCTGTTTTGAGAAATACCATGCTGGGCAAGAACCAAGCACAAAAGCCAGGTTCCTGGTTTCTCTGCAAGGTCTTGTCTCTTGGCGAACACGGATTAGTACCTCCACAGACTCCTGTCTCTCCATTGGAGGCACTGGGATTTCTCTGTCCTTCTCCTCATCCTCTTCTTCATCATCCTCTTCTTCCAGGTCACTGTCAACCTCTTGGGAGCCAGGCCGGTGGGGGTCGGCCAAAGCAACAGGCATACTGGCCAGGGCAGGGGGCCCAGGACAGAGGCTGTGGCTGGGAGGCCCATCATCACTGACAAAGCAGGTCTCTTCACTGTTGGATGGCGAGCTGATGCTGTCGATGCCGCTGTCACGGTTAGGTACCTTCTCACCATCCCGAGGCCCAGGAGCCAGCAGGAACAGGCAGCGGGAGGCCTCACCCTCAGGGAGCTGGGACACTGGTGGTTGCGGGGGTGGCTGTGGCAACATGGCTGGCTCTGGGGGACCTGGACAGGGGCCAGGGGCTGGCCTATCCGAGGCGACAATCACAGGTTCTCTGAGGTTGGTGGTGGACACATATGGAAGCAGGGTATGAGGTTGACTGAGAGGCCTCTCCTAAAACCATCCCTTCCTATCCCAATCCATCCCCCACAAGGTCCTAGAGGTACCAGACTTACCTTTCAAACTTCTCAATCAGTGAGGATACTGCTGCAGAACTTGGGCTGGCCTCTGCCCTGGGGGCCAGACCCTTGGCCACTCGGGGGTCTGCAGGTAGTGGGCGGGATGGCGGAGGAGGGATAGGCTCAGGTTGTGGGGGCATCCGGGGCATCTGCAGGTAGCTGGGCTTTGGGGGGACTAGAGAGTTTGAGGAAGAGAAGAGATACCTCAATGAGCTGGGTTTAGGGGTGGCTATATGACCAGGCTACATCCCTCTCTACAAACCCCAGTTTTGTGGGATTTTTTTGTTTTCTTTTGTCTTTGTTTGAGGTAGGCACAGAGCAGGCCTGAGGTGAGATCCCAGTGCACATTCACCCCAGGCCACAATCCTCTGCCTGCTGGGTAGGTAGCACTCTCTCTGAGACCACAAGGCCTCTTGTTCTAACAAGCCCTCTCCTCTGACACTGGTTAACTTCTCTCCTCTATCCCCTCCCCTGGGCCATTTTTCAGCTCTTTCTGGAAGCACTTACCCTGTGGCTTTGGGCCTGGTGCCCGCTTCAGTGGTGAAGGACGCTGGCTAGGGGTTTCAGTGGGGGGGCCTGGATCTGAGCGAAGCCGCTGGGGGCCTTCTGGATGAGGCTCAAGGCTCTGGCCAGGGTCAAGGGACAAGCTTTTAACCAGGATCCGGTTTCCCTGGTGCAGCCCTGCAGAAAGGGAGAAACTGGATGTGAAGCAACTAACTTTACTCCAAAGGGGAGTTCCATGTCTTAGCAGGTATCTCGGGTATTGGGTTTCATGGAGCCCCTTTTATGGCCACAATGCACTGCTGGGAAACCCCTACCCCAGCCCTCAGATGTGAAGCCAGGTCTAGGGCTTGGGCTGATTGTTTTCATCAACAGACAAGAGTTCTTTGTGATTAGTGCATTGATTTCATGTATATCAGTGGGCATTACTATTAGGGAGTTTAATCAGGCTGGGGATGGGAATGAGCACTCTAAAGTTTGTATATTTGTAGCATTTGTTTATACAGTTACAGTGGGTATGCTTGGCATAAACCATTTTCTATCTTTTTTTTTTGTACTGGGGATTAAACCCAAGGGTGTTTTATTACTAAGCTACATCCTCAGCCTTTTTAAAAAGATTTTGAGATAGAACCAGGCATGGTGGCATATGCCTATAATTCCAGTGGCTCTGGAGGCTGAGGCAGGAGGATTTCAGGTTCAAAGCCAGTCTCAGCAATTTAGCGAGGGCCTAAGAAACGTGGTGAGACCCTGTCTCAGAATGAAATGTAAAAAGGACTGGAGATGTTGCTCAGCGGTTGAGTGCCCCTGGGTTCAATCCCCAGTACAAAAAAAAAAAAAAAGAAAGAAAGAAAGAAAAGAAACATAAACATCTTGGGATTTGGGGACAGGGTCTTGCTAAATTACTGAGGGTCTCACTAAATTGCTGGTTAATTTCACCAAGATTACAGGAATGTCACCATTCCTGGCTTCAACCTGTTTTTTTTAAGGCTATGAGAATATTTGAACTTTTTTGTCTACAATTTTGTACAGCTGAGTGAGCTTAAAAATGATGAAACTGTGTTTCATGAGCAAAAGTTTTGCTGTTTACAACCCCAGTAACTCGGGAGGCTGAGGCAGGAAGCCAGACTTGGCAATTTAGTGAGACCCTATCCCAAAACAAAATGTAAAAAGGACTGGGAATGTAGTTTACTGTTAAAGTGTCCCTGGGTTCAATCCCTAGCACTGAAAAAACCTCCAACAACAACAAAAAGAAACAGTGTCTCACCAATCTGTGTTAGTCTCATCTACTTTCACATCAACACATACCCACACATATGCCACCCCTGACACACACATCCAGAATTCTGAGTTCAGGTCACCAGAATGAGTTTAAAAGAGCAAGCAGCAAATTCAGAAAAACAGGAAGTCTTTTTGTATTGTCCCTCCTCCCTTAGTTTAGGGCCTCCTAAACCCACCTGTTTGGGGCCTTGGAGATGATGGTGACACTTACAAGAGAAATTTCAGTCTGGAAGGCAGTGAAGGGTCTCTTAGGGTTGACACGTGGTCTTGACTGGGGAGGGGGCCTTAGGAATGCCTCAGATTACAGAGAAGTCAGGTGGGGCCAGAGAGAAGGGGATAAAGCTTGGATGACAGGCTGAGGAGTTGAACATCTATCCTGTGGCAGAATGGAGCCATAAAAGGTGCTTGTGTAGGGAAAGACGCAGGAAAGCAGGTGTGAGGACAAGAGAGTGAACAGTGGTTCAGAGCTTCTAGAGCTACCAGTTGCACACATTGCCAGTTATGTTGTGCCACAGTTACTTGGACTCTCATAGCCACAAAAGGCCTGTTAACCTGTGTGACAGTCTTATCAACGACCAGTCACAAATGATTCCACTCTGTCACAAAAGAACATGGTGTTATTTATAGTTTTACACAACTGTAAGGCCACATAAATTCAAACATCCAAACACAGGTCATTACACTCCTGAAAGTCTGTCTGGTCATATGCAGTTACAAAGACCTGAAGTTATGATCTCACATATGATCACGCAGGATCGTGGTATCATATTTACCTGCAAACATGGTTGTACACAGTTACAAAGATACTCACATAATGGCCAATCTACCATCTCATGATAATCACCTAACCACATACCATCATATACCTTATTATACATCCCTCAAACATGGTTCCATTGAATCATAAAGATACACAGTGTCATTTAACTCTATCTCAATTTACAGAATCATGGAGTTGATATACATTATAATGTACCTCCACACTTCTGCAAACATGGTTAAACATAAAGACTAGCCATGTGGGGTCAATTATACCAGGCCAGACACAACCTTACACAATGACAACTACTTACTCAGATACATGAACACAGAATCACAGACATAACATAATTTACTATGTCACACTCATGAAACAAACATTAGGGTCTTAGCCCTGGGATACACACAGACATAAGACACTTGCCTCCTCCTGGTAAACAATCACAGTGTCATTTGCTGCCTCCACTACAAAAAGATATAGCAGTGGCACACAGAGATATCCATATCCTCCCTTACAAGGTCATAAAGACAGAGTTTTAGGGGATTTTTAAGTCTCTGAGTCTTGGAAGGAAAGAATATTCAACTCACAGGATTCCAGAACCTTCCTTGTGCCCCTGACCCCACCCAGGCTATACCTGGGCCAGGTAGGCCCCAGGAGACTCGGGCCAGGGGCCCTTTCTAGCTGAGGGAACATGGTGTCCCAGGCCAAGCACTCCCCCCGCCATCCCGTACCTTGCTTTGGGTAGTTTCCTCACTTCCTTGCCCACTTGAGCAGGTAGGGCCTGGCCAGGACTGAGGAGGTGCTCCTCTCAGTTTAGCTGGGCTGCTTACCCTGCCCTGCTCAGCACATCCTGGCTGATCCTGCCCTGCCCTCCCCCTGGGCGTGGGGTTGAGGAGGATGAATCACCTGGATGGAGGCACAGGCGGAGACACAGTTGGAAAGACACTTGTCCAGAGAAAGTAAGGCACAAGAGAGTAGCTGACAGGGTCAAAGATCAAGTGAACAAATGTAGACACCTCCTCTTCCAGAAATACACACAGGTGCTAAGACCCCAGGAGCTCCTTGTATGCCTCCCTAGGCCTGTGGAACCCACAAATCCCTTCTCCATACCCCAACCCAAGCGTGCCTCTCTAAGAAAGCCCTCCCCACCTGGGTCTGTAGCAGGGCAGCAGGTCTCCTGTGGGGCTATTCCACTGCTATTCTTCATGGTGTGGTGACCCTCTGCTCTTCCTCACCTACCTCACCCTGGAGTCCACACATGGCCCTGTCTCTCTATTCTCTCTGCCTTCTTGCAGGCAGCCCTACAGAACAGTAGGCTGAATCCCAGGTGAGGGGGGCAGGGATTCTCAGCTCAGTTTCTAACGTGGAGATGAAAGCAGACAGAGAGGCAGTGACTACCCCCAGGTCACACAGCAAGTCAATATCAGACTTTTAGGCAGGCTGATTCTGGACTGGACTCTTCTCTTAACCCTGCTTTCTAAAGGGAAGCTGGAAAAGTGGGGAACCAAGAGGGACAGGGTGGATTCCAGGGATTTAAGGTCATAAATCATAGTGTGGTTAATAAGAGGGACAACCCCAACTCTGCCTATAGGGAAAAACTACATGGTTCAAGTTTAGTGGTATAGGTCTGGCTAAGAACCAGGCTAGGTTCCACCAAGGGGAAAAAGGTTTGAGATCCCTCCATTTCCTATTTCAGTATTCCCTTTCTCTTCTTTACCTACACTCCCAATTTCCCTCCTGTTTTCAGTGGATCCCTTGGCCCCAGGGCTTGCTCCCTCTTGGTGGTTGGCTGCATTTTTAATAATATAGCTCGGTCTTATGACTTATCTATACAAAAAACTTCCATAACTTCCAAATACCCAAATAAAAACAGAAACTATTCAGCTAGGTCTCTGCAGCACCTTATAACACTACTGAATTATCTGATTTCCCCTACAAATATTTCTGAGCCTGGTCCACTGTATGCTGGCAGATAAGAAAATCCCATTCCTGCTCTCAGGGAGCTTCCAGGGTAGGATGCCCCCTTCCCCTTTCTAGAAACCAGGCCTTCCCACTGACTCACCTAATCAGCACCAAGCTAGGTCCTACATTAGTTTTCTCCAGCCCACTTTTTCTTTGTACTAGGGATTGAACTCAGGGCTATTCTGCCACTGAGCTACATTCCCAATCCTTTCATTTTTTTCTTTAATTAAAAAAAAAGAATTTAGTTGTAGATGGACAGAATACCTTTATTTTATTTATTTATTTTTATGTGGTGCTGAGGATTGAAACTAGTGCCTCACACATGCTAGCTAAGCGCTCTACCACTGAGCTATAACCCCAGCACCCAATCCTTTAACTTGAATTCAAATTTTGAAATGGTCTCATTAAGTCACTGAGGTTCTTCTTACTAAATTGCTGAGGCTGCCCTTGAACTTGTGATCCTATTCCTTCAGCTTCCTGAGTTGCTGAGATTACAGGAATATAAATGGCCCATTTTAAATGGTTGATAATCCACAACATTCTCACACATATAAATCCATACCCCTAACAAGATCCTCTACCAGCACTGCCCTTTTACCCCTGGGTTTACCAGAGTTCTCATTGCCCAACAGAGCAGGGGACACATCTACTGTACACAGTCCTCAAAGACCCAGAGAGAACCACAAAGCCATTCCATATACTCATATACAACGTGCAAAGTGCACATACACAACCACTACTACCACTTGGACATCTCTTGGCACTGACAGGAAGCACATCCTGGGCACCCCAAGAGCACCTGGGTTCTTCTCAGCCCTGCTGTGGGTGTGGAGGTGGGTGTACATCCTCCTTGCTCCACCTTCACCCCTCTTGACTCTCAGCATGCTGGAAAGGCAATTGTTTTTTGCAGGCTGGGTGTAGAACACAGGGCTTTGCATGCTAGGTAAGTGCTCTACCACTGACCTACACCCCCATCCCAAGTTAGGGAAATCTTGACCGTTACCTTCAGGGAGCTCCCGATCTTAAAGACAAGAGACTCTCATTCAGGAAAAGTTAAGTGGTGGCTCAGAAAGTGCAAGGGGGTTAGCCTGTCAGGAAAAAGACAGCCAGATAAAATACAGGACACCCAGTAAAATTTGAATTTCACATGAATGACAAATAGATGTTTTAGTATAAGCATGTCTTATGCATACTTATACTAAAATATTATGCTACACAGGTTGAGCATCCCTTATCTGAAATGCTTCAGACCAGAATTTTTCAGATTGTTTCAGATTTTGGAATTTGTTATGTTTTGTTTTGGATTGGGGACTATTTGCATAGTTTACCAGTTGAACATCCCATGAAATTCCAACACCACCATTTACTAGCTAAGTGGCTCTTGGTCCCCATCTTTCTGAGTCTTGGTTCCATGTCTGGAAAAGATAATAATAGCAGCTTCCTGGTTTGGTTCTGAAATTTCCAGAAAGAAGGGAAAGTGAAGTAAGGTTCAGTTCCAGTGGGTGTGGGCCAAAAAGAGGAGTCCTTGCTCTTGAATTCAGCTAGAAGCTGAACCCAGCACAAAACTATTGATACATTGAGAAATGCAAGTAAACCCAGACAGAGATGGACACAGAATCCAGCCCTCTTCACCACAAGAGCTCCGTAGATCAGGGCAGTATTCCTATTAGAGGTGAAAAGACAATGGTGCCCTGTCTCCTCCATTCAAACACAATTCAAAATACAAACCATACAAAAGTGTAAAATATATGTCAAGAATTGCATCTGAGTTTCAAATTTTCCCATGACAATTTATTATTGTTGAAATAGCAAAATCATTCCAAAAATTGTTTCTGGTTGCTGTATGCCCCTGCTTGGCAGGTGCCCTGAGCACATGCTTCTGGGTTTACTGGCAGAGGAGGTCCAGCTTCTAGCTGAGCTTGAGGACAAGGACTCCTCTTTTGGCCCATTCCCACTGGAACCAGACCCTACTTTTCCTTCACCTCTTTCTGGGAATTTCAGCTGCCAGTTTCCCCTCTTCCCTGGCCAGCAGTATCCCCTCTCTGTTCTCCCAGCTGTAGCCTTGGCTTAATTTCAAGATAGCTCTTAGGGCCCCAAGACTGGACATTGGCCATTAACTCCCTGGTGACCTGGGGCAAGGAGCTGCATAGCTTGAACTCCCAATTTCCCCATTTGTAAAACTGGGACAATATGTGTGTGCTTTTTGTTGTGAGGAATCTGTGAGATGCTAGTGGGCAGAAGCTGACCCTAGCATTCAGGCCTTTTCACAGCTGATGTAAACTTCTCCCAACAGCCCTCAAATCTTTGCCTTTCCTGGCTGAGAGGTAGGCCCCAGGGACAGTTGGAATTCCTGGGGTGGGGTTGGGGTGGGGAAAGGGAACAGAGGGAGTGGAGAAGAAAGAACAACAGCAAAAAGGAAAATGCCTTTTGAGAAGCCAGCTCTGTGGGGGGGAGTCCCACAGCTTGAGAGAAAAAGCAAGGGATGAAGGCAAAACTGCCCCACCTCTTCCTGCCTACCCCTTGAATGTGAGCTCCAGCTCAGCTGCCCCAATTCACCTTCAAGGCCAGACTGTACACAGGACTTGCTTGGCCTGGCAGATGTTCTTTCTGGAAGTCCAAACACAAAGCTTTGTCAAGTGTGAAATGTGCAGGAGGAGATGTTTACAGGAAACCTGTGGGTAGTCCAGAGGTTCCTTCCCTTAAGTCCACTAGTCTTCTGAACATAAAGGACTCAGCAGAAAAATGGGGGCACTTTCTGCAGAATGAAGACATTGTGTGTGTGTGTGTGTGTGTGTGTGTGTGTTATTAAGGACTGAACTCAGGAGCACTTAATCATTGAGTCACATTCCCAGCCCTTTTTTTCTTAAAAAACATCTTTATTTTTATTTGTTTATTTTTATGTGGTACTGAGGATGGAACCCAGGGCCTCACACATGTGAGGCAAGCACTCTACCACTGAACTACAACTCCAGCCCATTCCCAGCCCTTTTTTTTTTTTTAAATTTCAAGATAGGATCTTGCTAAGTTGTAGAGCACCTCAATGAGTTGCTGAGTCTGGCCTTGAACTTGTGATATTCCTGTCTCAGCCTCCTCAGCTGCTGAGATAACAGGCATGCACCACTGTGCCTGACTGTGAAGATACTTTTGAGAGCCTACCTGGCATGCATGAAGCACTGATTCTCAGCACTACATAGAAAAAATGAATAAATAAAATAAAGATATTGTGTCCATCTACAACTAAAAATATTTTTTTTTAAAAAAGAGTATGTCCTCCATACCCTCCTGAAAAATGGAGAAGCTTTCTATAAAATAGAGGTCTCTGATGAAAAAGCCCTTTCTGAAAAGGAAGAAGTTTCTATAAAATGAAAGAGCTTCCTTCAAAGTGCAGGGACATTCTGTAAAATGAGGCAAGTTCTATAGAAACTCTTTTGTAAAATGTATGACCTACCAGTAATTGAATGACTCTGACAAAATAGAAGCTTTGTATGAAAAATGGAGAAATGCTTATTT